TTATGATTTAAAAAGTAGCAAAACAACTATGTGATAATACATGGCTTCATATGATCACTATCCAATAAAATACTTTTTTTTTTTTTTTTGTATGATCAGTCATATTTTCAAAATCAATGCCAAAATTTCACAATTTATGTCAGGGTATGCAAACTTTTGAGCATAACTGAATGTGTATACATGTGTATCTTAGTGTATGGTAATGTACATGTGAATACATACATGCATTCAAACACCACTACTACACAGAAATACAGCCCTGAATTTAAAAGCACTACACAGAAATACATTCCTGTACAAGATCCGAACATCTACCTTTTTGCCATTCTTGCTATAAAGGGGCAGACAAAAAGAATTTCTAGTACCAGACCCTCTCTTAATTAGTTCTCCCACTGCAAATAATTTCATTGTTTTATTGTATCTTATCATAATAATAATTTAATAGAACTGAATTTCAGAAACAGAAGTGGTTAAACCTATAAAGTTACTCTGATAATCCTTATAAATATAAAATTGGAAATCAGATATTAACACACTCTTTTGACCCTTAGATTCTGCTGAATGATCAGTTTTTGTTGCAAACAAATAATTAAAGCTATTGATTTGATTTAAAGATCAATACCGACTTATTAAGATCTCAGGAGCAGAGCAGATTCTGTTTCAACCTTAGAGATTCAAGCAATGTCCTGTGTTTTCATTGATGTTCTTTGATTATTTCTATACTTTAATAATGTTCCATTCAATCAAGAATGCTAGATTTCATCAATTAACCTAATTTTTTTAGTTTCGTGTTTTGTCAGTAGGTAACAATACAAACATATTTCTCCATAATAATGTTTCGCTAATGACCCCATCTGGCATGCCCCTTCTCATTTCGCCCCCCCCCCGCTGAGGTACGAGCCTGCTATTGGGGCTCCGCTGGTGGTTGAGTCCGCGCGGGGACTGTTAGGGGTGCTTTTACTCCCGTTCCCCTCCCTCCGTCCCGCGCCCCCGTCCCATGGTCACGGGCCCTGGGCGGGGAGGGCTGTGGGTAGGGTGGTGGTTGGTTGAGGATGCGACTCGTTGTGCGGTTGGGTTGGGGTTCCTTGGTTCGAGGTGTGGGCCGAGCCCATTCCTCTTGGGGGGTGATAGATGTGCGGGACTGGGTGTTGTAGCATCCCAGGGCTGACCTGGGTAGAAAGGGTCGCCCCTACTCCGTCTGCGTCGCCTAGGTCTTGGTCGGGGGTAAGGGTGCAGGCCACCCCCCTGGATGGTCAGATCGGTGCCCTGTCAGGGCCTTCTGGTCCCTTCCGGGGCCTGTCAGGTGTTAGGGCCGGGTTGTGTCATGTGATCCCCCTACTTCCCGGGGCCCTCAGCCACCCCATGGGGCCGGTGCGTGCGGGGCAAGCTCCCTTTGGTCGGTTGTCTAGTTGTGTGCAGCGAGTGCATCTCTCCCTACTCAGTCTCCCTCTTGCTCATGACCGCCTATGGGGTCTGGGTGTGTCATGCTGTGCGCGTGGCACTGTCGGTCCCTGTCAAGTGACTGGGTCGAGCGGGGTTAGTCTTATGTAGGTGGGATTCTGAACGTACGATCCGAGTCCTTTGTTTTATTTGGGGGAGTCAGCATGGTCCCCTTGGGCGCTGGTGCGGGGAGAGGGTGGGGAAAGGGGAAGAGAAGAGAGAGAAAAAAAAAAGGGGGGGGTGGGGGGCCCTGCGTCCCGTGGTCTCCCATTATCCATCCCCAGCTCCTCTCTCAGGCCCCTGGTGGGCCGGCCCCCTCCGCCCCCGGTCAGCCATGTAGATGATCCAAGGGGTCCACAGTCGGGTGCAGCGCTCCTGAGTTCCCCGTAGCTCAGCCGTGAGGGTCTCCATCGTGTATGTTTCGTCCACCTTATCTATCCATTGAGATATCGTGGGAACGTCCGTCGACTTCTATCTGGCGGGGATCAGGCTCTTGGCGGCATTGAGGAAGTGTCGAATTAGAGACTTTTTGTAGCGTTGTATTGGCATCTGGGTGTGGTTGAGCAACATAGGCATGGGTTCCATGGGGATATCTTCTTCTAGTATTTCCACGAGTTTGTCATGGATCTGTTGCCAGTAGCCTGTGATCCGAGGGCATGTCCACCAGACGTGCAGGTCTGTTCCTTCAGCGGCTTTGCATCGCCAGTTTGGACGGGGTCCTGTACCAGCAGGTCAAGATTTTGAAGTTAAGTTCTTGCATTTTGGTACTTGGTGCGTTAGGATGTGTATCTTCTCCCATTGCTGGTCCGTCAGGGCGACCCCCGTTGCCTGTTCCCACTTGGAGTGGAAATGTGCTGGCGCCCCTTGGTCGGCTGCCAAGAGCATTGCGTAGAGCGTCGATATTCCACGGGTCAAATGTTCTTCACTGGAGCAGAAAGTCTCGAATTGCATGGGGTCTCTGTGCAGTAATTGTTTCCCTTGGAGAGTGGCGTAGAAATGCTTAACTTGGTGGTATCGGAATTGGAGTAGGCCTGTGGGCCTGGTTTGCGCTGTCAATGCGGTGTATGTTTTCATTCCTGTCCTGGTACACCACGCCCAGAGGTGCTGGGCCTCCCTCCCTCCGAAACCGTCCACATCCTGCATTCGCAGCCCTTCAGCCAGGTCGGGGTTGTGTATTACCGGCATCATGGGCGCGGGGTAGGTCGTGAGCTGCAACTTGTAGCGGATGATCGACCATATCCTCAGTGTCGCCCCAATAAAGGGGTGGTTCCTGAGTTCCTGGACTCGCATCAGGGCCCGTGTCCATACCACCAGCGGGATCCGTCCCCTCGCCCACGTCCGCTCCAGCTGAACCCATTGTTTGTCCATGTCCGACACATGCCAATCGACGACGCGGGAGAGATGGGAGGCCTGGTAGTATCCCTGTATAGATGGTAGGCCCGTGCCGCCACGGTGCTTCGGAAGAATAAGCTGCGCCCTCCTCACTCTCGGGGGGCCTGACAACCATACGAATTTCAGTATCGCGGAGTCCAGGGACCTGAAGAAGGCGTGTTTGAGAGCTATTGGAATGGTCTGGAACAGATACAGCAGGCGTGGTAGTAAGTTCATCTTCACTGCATTTATCCGTCCAAACCATGATACACAGAGCTTCCCCCAGCGTGTCAAGTCCGTTTGAAATGTGCGGAGGATGGGGAGAAAGTTCTCCTGGTAGAGCCGGTTCAGGTCCTTTGTCAGCCAGATTCCTAGGTATTTTAATCGTTGCGGGCACCACCGGAAGGGGAAGCGAGCCTGCAGTTGTTCCACCAGCCCGTGTGTCAGGGATATGGGGAGAGCTTCCGACTTCGTCGCGTTGAGTTTCAAGTTTGAAAGTGCTCCAAACGCATTGAATGCCGAGAGTAGGTTGGGTATCGAGACCAGTGGGTTTCCTATAAAGAAGAGGAGGTCATCCACGTAGGCCGCCACCCTATGTTCCCGGCCCCCCTGGGTGATCCCCGTAATACCCCCATCCCGCCTGACCGCCTCCAGAAATGGTTCCAGAGAGAGGGCAAACAGGAGGGGAGAGGACTCGTCGGGGAGAGGACTCCGTTGATCCAGAGCTGGGCCTTCGGGGTCTCATATAGTGCTGCGATCCATCAAAGGATGTTGGGGCCGAAACCCATCTTCCGGAGCGTGGTTTGTAGGAATTGCCAGTCCACCCTATCAAAGGCCTTCTCGGCGTCGGTGGAAAGGAGAAGGCTACCCCGCTCGGAGTGCCGTTGTGAGTGCATGATGTTGAGTGACTGTGTTGTCCTTGGCTTCTCTCCCCGGGATGAAACCTGTTTGATCCGGGTGGACCAGAGTGGGGACCAGGCGGCCTATGCGAGTCGCTAGGATCTTCGTGAATAGCTTAAGGTCGGAGTTTAGCAGCGATATAGGCCTGTAACTGGAGCATGCGGCCGGGTCCTTGCCCTCCTTGGGTATGACTGTTATGGTTGCCAGAAGGGTGTCCCCCTGGAACCGTCCATCTTCCAGAAGTGAGTTCAGGCCCGACAGCAGCTCCGGCAGCAGTATCTCTCCGAAAGCCTTAAGGTAGCATGGGGGGAGCCCATCTGGTCCCGGGGCCTTGTCGAGCGGAGTGTTTTTTAAGGCCCCCTGAAGCTCCTCAATCGTAATGGGGGATTCGAGTTCCTCGCTTTGTTCTTGTGTGAGGGTCCGGGTGACATGTTGATCTAAGTATGCTTGTGTCTTCGTTTGTCTTCTGTGTGTCTTGATATCTGTCCTGTCAGGTGCAATGTTGTAGAGTTTGGCATAGTATTCCCGGAATTCCCCGATTATCTTGTCCGGCACTTGCGTAAGGGGACCACTGTGCGTCTTGATTTTAGCAATGTGGCTCTGGCGGCGTTTCTGCTGCAACATTCTGGCGAGCAGGCGGCCACACTTATTGGAGAACTCGTGGAAGTAGCGGTTGGATTTCCGCAGCGAGTGCGACAGTTGTTTTGACAGTTGGTGTTGTAGAGCCCGTCGGGCTTCCAATAACGCTCTGTATACGTCTTCCGAGTTTGTGTTTTTGTGCTCTTGGTCTAATTGGGCGACCCGCGTATGGAGTTCCGTTAAGAGCCTGTGTAACTCCTTCTTTCGCGCTGTGCCGACCTTGATGAAGTATCCCCGGATTACGCACTTTTGTGCCTCCCAACGGGTCAGGTGCGACGTCTCCATGGGGTCGTTTTCATTGAAGTATTGGCGAAGCACCATCTTAGCATCCGCGTTACTGCGTCGGCAAGCAGTTGGTCATTTAGCTTCCAGTGGCGGCGTGTGGGGGGACGCCATGACGGCCAGGACCGGGGAGTGGTCTGACAAGTTGGCCGGGAGGATCTCACACGAGTGTAGCAAGTGTAGTTACTCTTGGGAGATAAAGATGTAGTCTAGCCTGCTGTGTCCGCGGTGCACTGGGGAGTAGTAAGAATAATCTCTTGCGTCCGGGTGAAGGACCCGCCATCCATCCTCAAGCCCTGCTGTTCGAAGTGCCACCTGAGTAACCCAGAGGCAGGTTCCCGACAGTGAGCTACTACCCCTCGAGGTGTCTATGCGGGGTCCATGGGGACGTTGATGTCTCCCGCAAGGATCAGGAGCCCCTCCCGGAAACCCTCCAGTAGCCGTGCTGTTTTAGCGAGGAAGCGATGTTGTTTGGCATTAGGGGCGTATACGGAGGCGAAGGTGTAGCGCCGGTCTGCTATTGTGCCTTTAAGGAACAAGTGCCAGTTCGGGTCAGCCTTTTTTTCTACGCAGTTGAAGGGCACAGTGCTAGCGAAGAGGGTGGCCACTCCTGCTTTCTTGGAGTCTCTGTGGTTGGCGAAGTATCCTATGGGGAACCTCCGATCCCTGAGTGCCGGGGCATCGCCCCCCTGGAAATGGGTCTCCTGGAGGAATGACACCGATGCCCTAGCCACCCACACAGTTCGCAGCATGTGTGACCTCCGTTCTGGTGTATTCAGGCCCCTGACATTGTTGGACCAGAGGCAAAGGGGCGCCGGGGCGAACCCTCCAGCATCCAGGGAGGGCATGGGGGCCAGAGCGGCGACGCAGGGGGGGGGAGAGACGGGTGAAAGGAAGGGGTTGGGAGGGGGGGGCTGGCGCGCTCGTCAGACGCGGTAGGCCCGTGTGTGGGGCGGTGTCCCCTGGTCACAGTGTCGCGGCGGTAGTCTCTGTTGTCGTGGGGTGAGTGGGTCAAAGAAGTAAATAATCACAACAGTGAAACTATGTACAAAGGCAGACTTGACTGTCTAGGTGGGTGATTCCGGTCTGGGTGTTTCGTCCCTTAAGTTAACCACCCTCCTGGTCCCCAGTCCTAGTGTGTTTTACAGTCTGTCTGTGGGTGCGCGTGTGGCCTGCGTTGTGGGCAGGTGTGAAGGATGGGTGTGTCCTCGGATGGGAGTTACCTGTCCTGTATATATGGAAGTCCCCCGTGTCCTCCCCCCTGGCTCTCAGTGGGGTGGAGAATATACGGGTCGGGTTCCCGCTCCGACAGTATCGTGGTTTGAAGCAGTTCCGGCGGGCTACTCCGGTGGGCCTCCCCCGTCTCCTTCCACTCAGGAGACTCAAAGATCTGGGGCGAGGGCAGGTGGTCATTGCTAGTCGGTCCCTACTGATACTCCCGGGGTGGGAGCTCCCCCCCTCCCTCCTCCCCCCGCAAGCCCCCCTAGGCTGGGCCCCCACCCTCCAAGCCCCCCAGCTGCGGTCCCCCCAGCCCCCTCCCCCCCGCGGACCCCGCCGACCCCCATCCAGAGTCTCCCCAAGTCCTGTCCAGGCACAGTGTGTGCACCCCATTCCCCCCCCTCCATGCACCCCCCCCCCCCTCAGGTGCCCCCACGGCCCACCCAAAACCCCGGGCAGGAACTACCACTTCCGGTCCCTAAGCTAACCCAGGGGGCTGGGGGGGGAAACAGGAAACGGAAAGATGCAACGGGGGATGTGTATTGTGTGTCTACAGTAAGCGTTGCCAGCTTACATGGGAGTAGGTTTCTCAGGCATCTATGAGTCGCTTAAGGGTCAATCACCTTGTATGCCATCTTCGTATAATTGTCCTTGGGGGGCTTCCGTTCCGCAGGTAGTGCTAATCTCGGTGGACAGCTGCAGCACCACGCGTGGCCCAATGTTGTCGAAAGGCCTGAACTTCTGGGAGAGGGTCAGGGAAACTCGCTTTTAACAATTATTGCGGCAACCGATTGCGACACGGATGTCGCAACTGGGGAGATAAAAATCGGTGGTTTCTAAAGGGTCTGACTTCTAGCGTCAACTGTTCCCAACAGAGGGGCCGGAGGGTGTCAGGTGGGGTGCCGCCGGTATGGTGGCAGGTTCAATGGGTGTCACAGCCACAGTTACCCGGGTGCCGCGGGACAGGGAGTCGGGCTCCGCAGGTGTTCCAGGGGTTGCTTCGTCCACCCTCCCCACCTATGCTAGCCTATCCTGCTATGGGTCGGCTTCTCCTCCCCACCCAGGACCATCCCAGTACCTCGTGGCCCGGTCGGTTCCAGACCACTCGTGCTCCCTGCTCTCGGGTCACTCCTCTGCGCCGCCTGGTCCACCCCACATCCTGGGTGACTGGGCGTCTTCTCTCCGGGTCGCGGGCGGGTTGTCATCAGTGCCCGGGTCCTGTCTGGGTGCCAGTGGGGTGTCCAGGAGCCAGTTACGGACCCAGATATTCGGTAGTCTGAGAGTCCGCAGTGGCCGCGGGATGTCGTCGGGCCAGCGTACCTGGAGCCATGTGGTGCCGTATTTGATTTGGAGGCTGAAGAGGAATCCCCACCGGTAAGGGACCCCCCTATCTCGCAGAGTGGCCGTGAGGGGCCGGAGGGCACGTCTGGCATCTAACGTGAGGCTGGAGAGGTCCTGATAGAGGGACACTTCTGAGCCACGGAACTGTATGCCCGCCATGCCCCTGGCCGCCGCCATCAGTTTCTCTTTGGTGCTATAAGCGTGGAGGCAGCAAAGGACGTCACAGGGCCTTCCGTCCGGATGCTGGGGCCCCAGGGCCCTGTGTACCCGGTCAAACTGGATCTCCCTGACGCCCTCCTGGCCCAAGATCTGTCGGAAGAGGGCCCGCAGGGTGTTGGGCAGAGGGGTTGCATCTGGCTCCGGGAGTCCCCAGATGCAAATATTCTGCCGCCGACTCCTGTTCTCCAGGTCTTCGACCTGGCGTCGCAGGGAGAGCAGCATGTTCCCCTGTCGTGTGGTTGCCAGCTCCGTGGCCCGGTGTTGCGTGCGGCTGGCTTGCGCCTCGGTGTCCAGGGCATCTACTCTCACTTCAACCGCCGACAAATCCGTCCGCAAGGCCGTGATCTCCTCCATGATCGCCGTCCGGAGTTCCTGCAGAAGGCCGCCCGAGTCTGCTTTGGTAAGCATATGGCACGAGATCATGGCCAACTCCTGCTTGATCTGGGCCAGTGTGTCGTCCGGGAGGGAATCCCCCATGCTTTCCTGGCTCGGGGATCCGGGCGCCATTTTGTCCGGCGGTCCGGTGCTGCCCTGCGTGCTCGGTGTGCAGACGAAATCGTCCATCGTGCCCGTGTGGCGGCGTGGGGAGCCACCCAGGACCTGAGATTTTTTATTTTGGACCATTTTTATCAGGTTAGGCCGCTAAATAATTGCTATTTTATAGCCAGGGGGTGAGGAGCTCGGTCCCTACACGTCCTTTCGCATGCTCGGCTCGGCCACGCCCCACCTAATTTTCTTTTGAACAATAGCTTTATGGCCTTTCCTTTAAACAGCATAAAAGTGATGAATCATTATTGACTTTTTTTTTGGCTACTACTAATCTTTAAAGGAGCAAAATTAACAATTGGCCCACAAATACTCCATATATGTGTCTTTTGTTGTTGTTGTTTTTGTTTTGCTAAAATGCAGCACTCGTAACAGATCCAGCACTGCATTGCACAAAATATGTATTGAGTAGATTTTTTGTTTAATTTTACCACATGATAGGAGGCTTCATATTTTGCTTAACTCTCTTTACTAAACTCTAACAGCAGCATCAATCATAAAGAATACATAAACAAATCAAAATGAATAGGAGGTAATATAAGCCCTTGTTCTTAGAAGCATCCTACTGTATCAGCACAGGCCAAAGTTTTGGCTTCTGAGGCCTTATCCATTTACATTCTCATTAATTGATAATGTATTGATTGTCTCAGTTTGAGTTATTATTGCTGATCCTTGTGTGCCCTCTACCCTACCTGTCTATTTACTTTACTCTCCATGCCTCCAGGGTAACTATTTCTTTGCAATCGTCAAGGGAACCTACATCTATTGCTGGTCCAAGAATGTCTCCATTTGGTGAACTGGATGCTTACGGGGATCCTGACACATTCCTGGGTTATCACATGCAGCTAATTTAATTAATTTTGTGGGCCCCAGGTACTCACAGATGTTATCCTTTTGCCTGGAATTCATAGAGTAGCTGGTGCCTGTAAAGAGGTATTGATTCCTTTATGGTTCCTATTTACGCAATCCTGAATTTTCTTTCACATCAGTTCGTTTACTTTAAACCCGCCTGTCATGTTTCTTTCTATGTTGGAGTGTTAAGAAAGAAAAGTATGACGTCTCCTGCCACATGGTAAAATTAAAGATTATGCTAGCTTTAGTTTACCTATAATTTTAATTTTAGTAATGACAAGTATTTTTCTCCCTCAGTTGGTTGTTGTTCTTTTGTTTCCCCGTATGTTTATTCTCATTTTCTGGTTGACATGTTTATTTGGTCATTAGTTATTTGGTGCATGTTATCTATTTTGATAGGTTTATATGCATTTTTTGCTATGTCTTGTATATATTGAGCTTGATGTTATCTAGTTGCATAGTTAACATGCAATATTTAGTGCCTATATTTGTGATTTAGATTCTTGTCTATTTCGAGATACCATTTAGATGTTTTCTCTTTTGTTTCAATTTGTTCCTGCTTTTATATGTGCTCCTTGGAGTCTGGAGTTTCCTGTTTCGACTAGGTGATTGGATTGACTGGTTTCTTGTTTTTGACTGTACATTGTTGCATTTGTTGTTTACATTTTATTCTGTTTCTTATCTCACACACAAAAGAAAAAGGAGGTGCTTCTGGTTACAAGGGCTTATCTTACATCCTACTAGTTTTTTATTGGTTTATGTAGTCGTTTATGTAGTCGTATTTGAGCAAACTGCAGCAGATTGCATTTCGAACGTTGGGTAAATACTTCTTCTGTTACTGTAAACTGAGCTTGTTGGATATCTCTCTACCATGTGTTTGTGCCCTTTCTTTGACACATATTAAATTACACTATATACACTTTATTTTTCAGGGTGAAATTGGATTTCTATCTTCAATCAACACCGATACAGAAAGTGTTATTTTTGGTGCAACTTCATTTTTTGTGCTTTTGGGGTATTTATTTTTTGTCAAGAATACACCTGACCACTAGTGTGCAATATGTAGCCAGCCCACATGACTAACTATAGCCCTAATATATTTCTGTCCTCTCATTCTGATAACGGTTTCCTCATAAAGCCAATCTAGACATTAGTTAGTTAACAAATTCTCACAATATCTCTTTACCTTACTGTGGATGTTTCTGCTATTGTTATCTCTGTGTCTGTACACTTTGTAAAGGATTCCCCAATTGCAGGTAGAAGTTGATGATTAATTCAATGTACATTCCTGCACAGTGATGGAACTACTGCCAGTGCAGTTGGCGCAGCTACACCAGGGGCCACAGACTCAGGTGGCCCACCTGGTGGCTTATGCACTTAGGGCCAACTGATGACTATCTTTGATCTGGTTCCCGGTCAGGTAGTGTGGCCCTTTAACAGCACAACTGGGACAACTGCTCTGTGTATTACAGCAGTGATGAGAGGAAGTGAGTTCAAGTCACTTCCTGCAATCTAAACAATGAGCTGCACCGGAGAGGGCAAATGGTGGGGACAATAGAGAGAGGGGAGACCCTGGATGTGTTATCAGTGTACATATGTGCATCTGTGTGTATGTGTACATGTTTGTGTCAGTGTATGTTTCAGTGTGTATATCTGTCAGTGTTTGTATCTGTGTGTTATAGTATGTATGTGCATACATCCCAGCTATTAAACGTCAACTATAAATACAAAAATATTCAAGCACTAAATATAAATATACCACTGCTTTCAAATAGCAACAGTACATACAAACACACCACTTCATTCAAATAACAACACTACACACACATACATGCATAAATTCAAACACACAAAACATTATTACATTCAAACACAAACACCACTCACAAATACAGCTCTGCAAGAATGGACACTTGGTAGGTCCCCGGCTGGAAAATCATTGTATTTGGGTAAACTCTGTTTATGCTAGAGGGGGCCCAAAAATATATTTTTGCAACAGGGCACTCTCTACATTGGTTCTGCCATTGCTTCTGCATATATTATTAGTCACTTTGACCAATAAATAGTCCTGCTACTTGATATGCATTTCATTCCATTAAAAGAACAAACTGGGATTGACTTTTCCTCTATAGGCCAGGTGACTTAAAAGAACACTATAGTTACCAAAACAACTTTACCTTAATAAAGCAGGTTTTTTGTGTATAGATCATGCCTCTGAAGTCTCACTGCTCAATTATCTTCCATTTTGGAGTTAAATCATTTTTATTTTTGTCCATGCATCCCTAGCCACACCTCTCCTGACTGTGACTGATGTTAACTTACTTTAGAAGTTGTTATATCCTTCTCTGTAAATTGAACTTTTATCACACATAGGAGGCAAGAAGTGATTTAACTCCTAAATTAAGTAATTAAGCAGTGAGGCTGCAGGGGCATGATCTATACACCAGAACAGTCAATATTTTAAATTCAACTGACTTTTTTCCGTCCTGCTCTCAACTGAGGGGTGCGTTTTGCTCTCAACTTTCATTACGCCTCTCACTCCCTTTGCACCTTCCTCTGGAATCAGAAGGAGGAGATGGATGAGTGAGCTGCAGTGAGGAGCAGCTCTTCCAGAAGGTGCGTCTCCATGTGATTCTGCTGATCTTACTGCCTATGTGGTGCCATCCTCACAGTATGCAAGGCTCATGCTGCTAAAGCTGCTGTCAATGCACCAGCTTTGCCTCCCTGCCTGTTCACCTGTCTGTAAGCTACTACTGCTATACAGCACCACTGCCGCTATCACTGCAACGTTGTGCCATACAGCACAGTTAAGGGCTCAAGGACTGGGGGAAAACATGAGCTTTATATATTATATGCAATGTACATGTAATATACAGGCATTTTTAGGAATAATCAGTAAGCTACAAAGATCTAGTACAACCTGCAGCATCTAAGGCAGAATTAAAAAGTATTCATGAATTAATCTATTTTAAAACATTGTCTTATAAACATATTTCTGAAAAACAATGGGGAAGCACTCATGTCAAGGACCAAGCTCCAAGGTCAATAAACAAAAACCAAAATCCACTCAAATTATAAAGAAATATTTTTTGGTACACATATGGGCAATACAGTTCCACAAGAGTAGATGCCTGATGTTTCAGGAGATTTCCTTCAAGTAGAAGAACTGAGACAGAAATCACCATGCCTTTCAAATCTTAAGAAATTCCCCCTACAAGCCCAGCTAGTGTCTTATCTGCAAATACAGCTTATCCAGATACACTAAATTTTCCACAATCGATTGATTTAAGAGAATTATTAAGAAATTTTCCTTCAATGGAAAACATTTTTTCTATAATTACCAAAGCTTTTCAGCCTATTATTGATAAATTAACTGTTTAGAAGGAAGATATGAAAGAAGTGGGTAGCAGAGTGGCAACTATGGATGATGTGATTAAAGCAGCAGTGGCTCTTGATGTCTTGAATAAAAAGGTATTTGAAGAAGACAAAAACATTTTTCAGTTAAAGCAAGAAGTAGAGGATATCCAAAATCACAGTGGGAAATGTAATGAGCAACAGAGGCCTTTTCCTGAAACACTACAAAATCTTTTCAAAACTATTCTTCAAAGATCATCATCAAGCCAGGCTATTAAACTGGACCATGTCCACAGATCATTTTAATGAAAAACTACTGATCCTACACTTCTGAAAGATGTGTATTTACAATTTTTTTAAAATTCTTTATTTTTGGTCGTGCAAAAGAATACAAGGTAGCCCGCAATGCCACAACAGCAATTGCCGGCATACGTCAAAAACACAATGAAATAGTGAAACATGACAACAGTCGTAGTGAGCAATAGCATTACGTTTCTACTTGAGTAAACAGCACGGTATTTATAATAATGGTTTGGTAGTTAATCTACGCAATTTCAATTGTAGAAATGAAAAATAAAAAATAAGAAATATACAATAGAGGTCAAGTTACATGCTATGCAAGAAGCGGATCGATCAATGGCAGTGATATATTGGGAGGTACACGTTGGGCAAACAAGTGAGAGATCATTTTAATTTTTAGTGATCCCGCTTCCTACCGGGATGTGGAGCCCTGTTTGGACTAAGTAGTAGGCCTGAGAAATAGTACAGGGTGAGGGCACGTAAGTAGGACCACTGTGATGTAGGGTAGCTTA